AGAGGACATATCAGATATTAAACTGATAAGAACAGATACTACACTTGATCTTAGCCAAAAGGCCAAGAAGCGATGTACAATAAAAATTTTAAATATATTTCTACTTTAAGTGATTTATTAAATCATTATATTTACTATACTTTTGTCTGCACTTCTGTCAAGAGGAAGTTTCCCAGAATTTATTTTAGCCTTTCTGTAAGCCTGTTCTGACTGGAGTATCCTGTGTTAAGGAAGTAGCAATATTTTTGAAGGCACAGGACCTATATTTAGGCACTCATTGTTGACCATTAGTTTCCATGGCTAGCCTAAACTAAGTCAGTAACCATGTTGTTTTCTGCCAGCAATATTTGTATCAAGGCCATGATTTGCTTGTTCTTTTTTAAGTCTCCTTCTTATTAAAATAAGTCATTTGGCTATTTTATTTTTTCCTCAATGTTCATGAATTATAAAAGCTGGCTTCTTGTTAATAATGCATATGCTTGATTGTTTTATAAAAAAGCAGCAAAATTGTTCCTAAAAAGTGTGAGCAGAGATCCAGTATAGAGAGTAGATGGTACTCAAGGAAATACTTAGAATATGTGCGTACAAACTAGGAAGGGCACTGAAAGGTGGTTGTTTGGCTTGCCAAAGTTCAGTTTTACTACATTTAGGACTCTGATTTTGCATGCTTTCTCTTTATTCAAGCATCAGAGAAGTAGAAAGAAAAAGGATTAATGGCACTAAATATCACTTGTCACAAGGCAGGAATTAAATGTGACTTTTGATGTTGAGGGAAGATGCATTAAGGAGTCAGGAATAGGGTTTACATTGTGGTTAACTTCGTGTAAGGTACAGAACTAATAATAATGATGACAAATAGTACTAATTGGTGCTAATAGAACTAAAACTAATATTTTCATCATATTTACTGTATTCTAAAGTATTGTTTAGCTCGTGTAATTCCCCCATGGACCCTGAGGTAGGTGCTGTTATTTTCCTCTCTCAACGCACTTAATCCTCATAGCAACCCCATTAAATAGACCCTGTTATTAGACCCATTTTATAGGTGAAGAAATGAGGTTAAGTAATTTATCCAAGATCCTACAACCAGTAAGTGAAGCTGGAGTTCAGATATAGGCAGTCTAGTTCCAGAATTCATGTTCTTAACTACTGTGGTAGACCAGGGGTCCTCAAACTTTTTAAACAGGGGGCCAGTTCACTGTCCCTCAGACCATTGGAGGGCCAGACTATAGTTTAAAAAAAAACTATGAACAAATTCCTGTGCACACTGCACATATCTTATTTTGAAGTAAAAAAACAAAACGGAACAAATACAATATTTGTATTTGCATGTGGCCCGCGGGCTGTAGTTTGAGGACCCCTGGTGGTAGACTAAGTAATGGCCCTCAAAGATATCCAGATCCTATTGCCTGGAACCTGAGACTGTTATCTTATAATGGAGGCCTGGTGCATGAATTCGTGCACTGGTGGGTTCCAGCTGGCCCGCCCCCATGGGGGCCAGTCGGGGGCAGGGCTGGCCAGGGCGAGGGGTCGTTCTGCCATTTGGTTGCTGGGCTTTTATTATATAGGATGATTAAAGAGATTTTGCAGAAGAGACTAAAATAAGAATTTGGGAGATGGGGAGATTATCCTGGATTATTCCTCTCCATTTAAATGTAATCACAGTTGCCCTTGTAAGAGGGAGATAAAGGGAGACTTGGCAGAAGGTGGTGATGGGACATAGAAACAGATTTGAAGATGGAGGAAGGGGTTGTAAGCCAAGGAATGTAGGTCTAAAAGCTAGAAAAGACAAGGATTCTCCCCTAGAGCTTCCAGAGGAAGCACAGCCCTGATTTTGGTTCATTGAAATCATTTCATCCTTTGGCATCCAGCAGTGTAAGATAATAAATTGACTTTGTTTTAAGCCACTAAACTTGTAATTTGTTGTAGTAATAACAGGAAACGAATACAGCCACTATACTATGGATAATGTTACCAGTTATAGTTAAGACTTTTATTATAAGCAGCCCTTCCTCACAATCCATGAAGAAATAATCTCCCTTAATAGCCCTGTTTTATGACACTTGTCTCTTTATAGTGCATTTTCTCAGTTCTTATCTCTTTATGAAGATTATTCAGATGTAATCCTTAACCCCTTCCCCAACAATTTTTTTGTTAAAAACGTTTCTTTTTCAGACTAATTTTTTTATTTTGGTTCTATATAGTATTTTTGATGCTGGTTATGAAAACAGTTTGTAACTCGTCTTCCTATAAACCATATTTTTTTACCATATTTTCTTAGTATACTCGTCGACGACTGAAAAAGAACATTTTGTGAAAACGAGTATACACGTTTCTGCCGGGGAAGGGGTTAAACTACATCTGTTCTATACACAAACAGGGTAGCCATTCTGGGCTTAGAGTTGGCTGTTGAGCCAGAAACTTAAGAAATATTGAAATGGAGTTTGTATCTGCTTCCAATAAACTATGTTTTTTATTAAAGTAAAAAAGAATAAATATTAGGCTGAAGACAGCATCTTTTCTTCAGGCCCAAGCAAAAGGCGGAAACTAAAGGCAACAAGCATTTTAGTCCTCATACCTGACCCTCCCCATAAAGAGTAGTTAATTATAACTCCTATCTTGACAATGAGAAACTGTTAGATAATGTGCTCAGAGTCAGAAAACCAGGCTTGAAAATTCAGGCTTGTCTAATGCCAAGTTATAGACATTATTCTGTACTCACTGTTGCTGCTCCAAACTAGACCTACTGAGGAGCTCAGATCTAGACCAGAGCATATCCAGCAGGTTTATTTAGTACTAAAGAGTCACCAGGAAGAACACATCATTTCCAGATCATCCCTGACTTGCTCCACAGTCTGCAGGTTGGGCAGGTTCTTGGATTGCCCTGGAGGTCTAGATTCCTCCTACATGACTCGGGAGATGGACTTAGTTCTGTGTTCAACTTGGTTTTCTCTATTCTTGTTTGCAGGAGTTAAGACCAAACCCTTAACAAAACCCCCAAAACTGTTTAAGATGAAATTCTCTTGTATGACCAGGGATCAAACCCACAACCTTGACATATTGGGTCAATGCTCTAATCAACTAGGGCATCTTACTTATATGTGGAATCTAATGAACAAAATAAACTGATGAACAAAATAGAACCAGAGGCATGGATACATGAAAGAGACTGACAGAGGTCAGAGGGGAGGATGGTTGTGGGGGACTGGATGAAAGAAGCAAAGAGATTAGCCAAAGAACTTATAGACATAGCCCATGGACACAGACAACAGTGTGGTGATAGCTAGAGGATGGGGGTGGGGGCTGAATGAAGGTGGGTAAATGAGGGTGCATATAGAGGACATCTGTAATAGTATCAACAATTTTAAAAAGCAATTCTTTTTTTAATATATTTTTTATTGATTTCAGAGAGAAAGGGAGAGGGAGAGAGAGAGAAACATCAGTGATAAGAGAGAATCATTGATTTGCTGCCTCCTGCATGCCCCCTACTGGGGATCAAGCCCGTGCAACCCAGGCATGTGCCCTTGACCTAAATCAAACCAGGGATTCTTCAGTCCGTAGGCCGATGTTCTGTGCACTGAGCCAAACCAGCTAGGGCAAGAAGCAATTCTTTAAAGCAAAGATCTGGAATCCATAGTTGAAACTTGAGGATTTTTGTGTGGAAGTGTTCCTGTGTGATATATGTAAAAAAAGATTTTTAAACAAACAGAAAAAATAGGAATGGTAATATAAATATAAGATTAAACCAGCTGGCATGTAACAGTGTTCAGCAGAGGTTCTCAAGATTAGTGTTAAATTTTCACAATGGTTTTTGGTTAAAATATGATTAAGAACCACCGTTCTATTTAAGAACCAATTTGGACCAGTATGAAAGACACTTGGCCTTTATCCTCTCCCATTTCATCCTTCTCCCTTTCTCCTTCCCCTCTCTTCTTCACAAGCAAATTTGTGACATTACTTTTTTTACAATGCTTTCTTAGAAATTGAAAATAATTTTAATATACTTGTAGGTGTAAAAAATAGAAGTCTGTTCTTTAGTTTATTGGGATTTTTCTAGAAGTAGTGGTATAATTGCAAGTATCTAAATGTAGGGGGGAACCCTGTTTAAGAAGTTGATGTAGGAAATAATTGATTTAGACAGATGTTTATTTGATGCCTGAATAATAGTACTATTAAATCAGGGATTGGCAAACTTTTTCTACAAAGAATCAGGTAGTAAATATTATACAAAGCATATGACAAAGTGTTATCTGGCCCAGAAGCCCAGAATGTCAACAGTGCCACGGTTGAGAAACACTGTTGTATATTATTTGATTTTATCTCCTTTGTTGGTTTATTATCTGTAATTCTTGAGTCATTTTATTGGTTGCTTTAGGGTTTATAGTACACATCTTTAACTTACCACAGTTTACCTTTAAGCAATATTTTACTATTTCCATGTAATATAAAAGCTTTACAACAGTATATTTCCATTTTTCTCCTCTGGCCTTTGTACAATTGTTGTAGTACATTTTACATCTACATATATTATAGATCCCACAATATGTTATTATTTTACTTTAAACAGTCAGTTATTTTTAAAAAATTTAATAGTTTTATTGACTATAATTAACATATTTCAAGTGTACAATGTGGTAAGTTTTGACATAGTTATACACTTGTGGAACCATCACCACAATCAAAATAATAAATATATTCATCATCTCCAAAATGTTTCCCCTGCCCCTTGGTAATCCCTCCTCCAAACCCAGGCAACTACTGATCTGCTTTCTGTCATTATAGATAAGTTTACATTTTCTAGAATTTTATATAAATGGAATTATAAACTACGTACTCTTTTTCTGTCTGACTTCTCATCCAGCGTAATTATTTTGAGATGTATCCATGTTGTAGGCATCATTAGGAAAGCATTCTTAATGCCGGACATTGTATTGCAGGTAATTGGACTGCTGCTGTTAACGAGCATGCTGAATGTCAGAGTCATTTGTTCTTTGTTTTAGGTCATGACTGTCAAGGTATGATAATCACCTGAGAGCGAGCACTCATTGCTGCAGATGTCATTTGTCCATCGGGAAATATCCATACAACCAGATCCATTTTTTATTGAATGGCTTGATGGATTTCCTTTACTCTAATTCATACCAAAGCTGTCCTTCTCAACCAAAGCAAGAGAGGATCCTGCATGAATCAGTCCCAGAATGCCATTTTTACATCACCAATGGGTGAAGAAAACCTCATGAATAACAATCACAGAGACTCGGAGAGCATCACTGGTGAGTCCAGTTTAATAAATATTGAAGGGTGTTGCTTACAGGATAAAATGCAGATGCCTTAATCCAGTGTATAAGATCACTGTAATGAAATGGAGGATGACTGAATTAATTCTTTCATCCCATAGTCTCCTATCATATTATCAAAATCTGCCTTGTGTGCCTTTGCTTGTCTGTGTCTGACTCCCTCTACCATGTGACAGTCAGC